TGCTCTGAGCTAGGCACTACAGGGAAAGCTGGCTTGTATGGCATCCACTGTTTTATGAAGAAGGGAGCTAAGTCTCAGGGCTCAGGAAGTATTAGGCGACAGACAAGGAGTCAAGTACCAAAGATGATATCATGCCGCTGATGGACCTTCCCTAGGGGACAGTCTCCAGCCGTCCTTCCTTTCTACAGTTGAAGGCTGACACCTTCCTAGACTCTCCACTCCTCTCTATCATCTACACTCACTTTTTACAAGCTGTCACTGCAATATCAGAATGGCTGATAGCAGCCTACAGTGACCTCCCTCAGCTGAGTTTCAATCGAACAAATGACTTGCAAAAAGGAAACAGGACAAGCAAGACTTAGGTTTGAAATCAATTCAGTTGGATTCTCACCTACACTATTCAATCCAGCATGCATCCCAGGCTGGGTGGGGAGAAGTTTGGGGGAAAGGGACTTGTCCTAGCAATATCAGAGTGACAATGCTTTCTCCTGGTCTCCAGGGGAACTTTTGAAAGACAGAGTCTCTCGTAATCTAGACTGTTCTCTAATGCACTGTAGTTTGAGTGTAGTGTAGTATAGTGGAGGGTGACCTGGACTCTCGGTCTTCCAGCTACTCCTGTCAAGTGCTTGAGATCACAGGGGTGAGCTGTCACACCTCGGTGGTCAGGAACCTTTGGTGATGAGATGGAATCTGCTCATTTGGTTTCCTTAGACAGCTTGCACGTGGATGCTTCACTTCTCAGCTTGGCACAACCCCCTCCTTCTGGCCGCACTGTTGTTTCTAGTCTTTTCAGTCTCGTGTTGCAGATTGATGACCTCATCTCTTGGGAGTTGATAACATAATGGCATATTTATTTTTCTGTTCACAGCTTGTGTGAAAAATGCATTTAAGGCTGCTAATGAAAACAAAAAACATCTCATTGATGGCCCAGCTGAAATAGTGCTGTCTTAAGAAATTGCTCCATCAGTAGTGGTATTCTAGAAGCTTCTACAGTGACTTTCAGATGAATACAACTGTTATATTCCTCAGTACGAGGTCTTAATACTGTTTGAGCATCAGTCTCTGGGCTCATGTCAATTACTCACTTTGCCTCTTTAATTAGCTTGCCAGGCCCTAGAAAGCAAGGGCATACATCTTTCTATTATTTCTGCTTTGGTATTTGGGGCTTATCACCTGTCCATCTCTGCTGGGAGAAACATCTTCATACTCCTCTGGTGTTAAGAGGAAATTGCCAATCACATATTGATGTGTTTAGGGTCTCCTACCTCACTGAGCCATCTTCTGACACTCTATTAACTATAGGTTTCAACTTTCCTCTTGACTCTGTGTCTTTTTATTTTTTATTTTCTTTTAAATCACAAGTTTCTCTGTCACAACATCCTTACCCAAGCATTGTCAACTCCTTAAGAGTGTGGAGTCCAGGGGAAGAGGCTAAGTGCCTGGCAGCTCCCTGCCCTTAAGGACAGCAGGACCTGGGTCATTAAGCCCCATGTCCTTTATAGCCCAGGACACCAACACAACCCTGAGGTCCCAGGTAGCCATCATCTCTGACTTTCCACCATTGTCTCTGTGAGGGCTGTGATCTGACTCAGTCCATGCCCATCCCTCATGGATGAGCTCTCTTTACTCCGTTCCCCAGAACTCCTATCTGTCTTCAGCTACACCCCTGTAGCCCTCAGCCACTTAGCTTTGGGAGAGCATCATGTAGCCCTCTTCCCTGACTTGTTTCATACTCATGCTCACAGGCCCTTGGGACTTTAGTGTCTTGACTAAATTTTCATAATGTACAGACTCTCATTCCTAAGATAGTTCATGTCTTTTCTTTGCTTCTCAGCAGACACACTCCCTATCCCTTCCCCCTCTCTGCTTCTTAGCTCACTAGAAGCTAACATTGAAGCATTCTGAAGAGACAGCTAATGCTCTCCTTACTCCTTGCTATGGTGCTCCCATCCCTTGACTTCTTTGTCTCTTCCTTCCCTTAGACACTTCTCTCTGCTCTTGCCTATTCCTTTGGTGTCCTGCTCAATCCAATAATTTCCCATCAGAATAGAAACACCAAGGCCTGTCTTCCACCTTTGAGAACTGCCTCTGGATCTCTCGAGAAACATCCATTCCCAGCTCGACTCTCCCTAAGTCTTTCCAAGAGTAGTTCATTTTCCCTCATCCCACTTGATCTTCCATTCTTCCTCAAAGATGCGCAGCTGTGCTTTTGTTCTCATCACTTTACAGAAGCTACCAGCCTCACCTGACTTCTGTCCATCATTTAGGACTGCCTCATCACCAAGGCCACTGCTGTGTGACACAACTGACTATTCTTGTTTTTTGTTGTTGTTGGTGGTGGTAGTTTATTTGTTATTTGAGGTAGTTTCTCTGTAACATCCCTGGTGTCCTGGTACTCACTCTGTAGACCAGACTATTCTTGTTTTTAAACACTATCTTCTGCCTTGGGGACTCCACAGTCTCCTAATTTTTCTCCTACCCTGTGTGCCACACTCATTGTCTCTCCTGTCTGCTCTCCTCCTGGCCTAACACCTCTGAGACTATTCTCAGAGTCTTTTCTCTGTCTTTTCTCTGGATTCCCTCTCTCTGGCCACATCTGCATGCCTCTTGATGCATCCAAGATTTTACTCAGTCCATGTCCCCTCAAGCTCCAAGTTCCCATATCCACTACCCACCTGGTAGACACTCAGATGTCTAACAGACATTCCCAGCGTAGTGGGAAAGCAATGTTCTGATGACCCACCTTCTCCTCTCTCTCTCTCTCTCTCTCTCTCTCTCTCTCTCTCTCTCTCTCTCTCTATCTCTATCTCCATCTCTGTCAAATATACCACCATTTACCCAGTTATTCTTGTTCTGAACCTAGAAATTACACTTGATTTTTTTCTCTTCCCCATGTTCAAATTTGTCAGTTCTGCCTTTGAAGGACGTGCCCAGTGTGCTCGCTCCTCACTGCCTACACTAGCAGAGTACATCAGAGTCCAAGGCCTCACGACCTGTCTCCTGGACCTTCTAAGGTCTCCTAGTTGGCCTCTCTGTTTCTACTCTTGCTTCCAATCAACCATTATCCACCCAGCTACCGCAGTAATCATTACAAAATAGATAGATGCGCCTCTCAGTTGCTAACCCTCCCCCCAATGACTTTTAACCACAAGTAGACAAGTCTACAAATTTTACTCCACCAAAAAAAAAAACCCACTTGACATGAGCTATCTGCCCTCAGGCTCTTTTTTGCCCTTGCTTCTTGCCCTTGCTTGAGCAGACAAGGCTTTCTCATCTCTGTACCCACTGTTCCCTCTGCCAGCCCACTCTTCCTTCCGGATTTTACAAGCCTGGTTGAGTCAGCACTCTGTTTGAATGTTCCTATGCTGCATAGAACTTCTCAGACCACCTGTTCCATCATCCCTATGCTACCTGGCCTCTCAGACTGCTTGCTCCCTGATAGCCTGTCTTCATCCTTAACTTTTCAGGGCCTATTGCGCATGTCTATCCCATGGGCAAGGACTTTCTGCCTCGTCCACTCTTGGTGGCTAAAGCAAGGGTTCAGCGAGCATTTGTAGAGTGAGTGGATACACTTGTAATGTAGGGAGAGAAGCAGAGAGGCTAAAGAGTGTCTTCCAGTAAACACAAAGCTCCAATGTCCTTCCAGGAGGAGAGTTAGGGACAGTGATAGGCAGGCACAACGAAGGCCACGCGGTGAGTCAGCCTCTCTCACAGCCCTGTTCTACAGAGATCCCACAACAGTAGAAATCACCTGTGTCCCCCTTGTCTCAAAATGTAGCTGCTGGTCACAGCTGGTCGTTGAGGACTCGAGAAGTAGCTAACGGGATTGAGAGATGGAATTTGGGTATAACTTAATTTTGATCCACCTTTAAACAGCTACATGTGGCTGGTGGCTATAATCATTAGATAACTTGAAAAGTGTCTTTCTTCCACCTGTGGTGGCAGGATGATCATTATTGAAAAGTCCAATCAGCATCTGGGCACAGTTGGCAAAAACTAGACCTATTATTCTGACGCAGAGTTGCAAAGTATGGTACTGTAATTGATACTGGCCTCAAAGGAACTTTTGAGGGATTGTGTTATTATCGTTCTTTGCTATGATTTTGTGTTTGTTAGAGTTCGTGGTAACCAGCCTGTGAGTCTGTGTTTTAGCTTACAAACTAAAAATAGCAAAGAAGTGCTTTGGGATTGCATTGAGGGTTGTTCAGAGACAGGGGACTGTTTGGAGTGGATCAGCTTGTTGATACTTAGGATGAGCTAATTAATTTTGACAACAGCTAAGTTTGCATCTGCAAAAATTGGATTTGCAATATTATTGTGCTGTTTTCAAGCTGTCATCTGCAACTTCCGGGATGACTTTGAATGAGTGATGTCTGTTTTCCAACTTGCTGCTAAAAATGAATTTGCTTACTGGAATTGTTATGATAGGTTCTTTAAGGTTTTTAGTTGGCTTGGATGTAAAAAAAAAAACCCTATGAGTGGCTTATCATATTCTCTTCCATAATGAATTCAGAAAACAATGTGAGCAGACAGAGTCTAAGCAGACACTATAACTAACACAATGGAATGAACCATCTAACCCAACCCTACTGTCACACATTTGTCCAGAATAAGTATGGTGTTATTTTCAAGCCAATAGGACTGTCTTCACGACCCATAGCAGAGCACAAGTAGTGTTCAGCAGTCTACTTTGGGGACTCTAAATGGAGTGAGTAGATTTAAACTAAACAAGCTTAAAGGCATTAAGAAAATTTGACACTCTCGCTAAAGAGACCAATGAATCTGTAGCAGCCGGGAGCCTTCTTTACTGCAGCTGACAAGGCGATCTAGGACCCAGTGCAAAGGAGACTGGAAACAAAAGAGAGAAAAGGCTAATTCCCACCAGGGAGTCCTGTGCACTTTGCAATGCAGACCCTCCCTGCCTTCCACCCTAGATGGCAGGTCTCCCATGGAGACTCCCCTCCAGGTAAATGTTAAGCAACGATGCTGAGAACACTCACCAATGGGCATCACTAGGAAGAAAGGCAGCCAGCAGAGCACGAAGCAGCCCACCACGATGCCCAGAGTCTTGGCCGCTTTCTTCTCTCGGGAAAACTTGAGCAGCCTCACGGAGAAGTGAGTCTTATTCTTGGCACTGTTCACCCCACCACCTCCTGCCGGGACGTTTTTCCGGTGGATACGAAGAGTCACTTGCTCGGAGTCTGACTTGTCCGTCTTGAGGCCAGACTTGAGGCCCCGACTTTCCCTCTTGGCCACCACGTAGACTCGACAGTACATAACCAGGATGATGGCCAGCGGCACGTAGAAAGAGCCCAGCGCAGAGAAGAGCACATAGCCAGGCTCCTCGTTGATCTGGCAGATGGTCTCATCCTCAGGCGCTGGCTGCCTCCAGCCAAACAAGGGTCCGATGGAGATGACCAGGGAAAGCGCCCAGACACACAGCAGAGCCCTGACGCCCCTCCTCTGGGTGACAATAGTGGGGTAGCGCAGCGGGTAGCTCACACCGATGTATCTGTCGATGGAGATGATACAGAGGCCCATGATGGACGCTGTGCAACATAGGACATCCACAGCAGCCCAGATGTTGCAGAAGACCCTGCCAAAGGCCCAGTAGCCCAGGATCTCAAAGATGGCGGAGAAGGGCAGCACGGTGGAGGTGAGAAGAAGGTCTGCCACTGCCAGGTTGACGATGTAGTAGTGAGTCACCGAGTGCAGATGCCGGTGACAGGCCACCGAGAGGATCACTAAGATGTTCCCCAGCACCCCGAATATGATGAGTCCCCCCAAGATCACCCCGAGCAGAATGGCCTTAGAAATGTTCACCGGTGCTGGTGGGTGGGTGCAGTTGGAGCCTTCAGAAGCATTTTCAGCGAGAAGCACCATGGTCCCAGGGAGCAGGGAGGTCAAGGTCCGGCTCTGGACAGCCTCCCTCTGGAGGGGGGGCGGAGGTGGGAGTGAGGAAGCCAAGTTAAAAGACCTCAGCTTGGGGGAGTCCAGCCAGCTGGGTTGGACTGGGGGAGGGAGAGAACACACCTGTTGGAAACCACCCTGGGCAGCCCTGGGAATCCTCAGAGGGCCACACTAACTCATAGAGCATTAAGGGTGACATGGCCAGGGTGGATCTGCACTGCTGGGGACACTTTCCCTACCAGCTCGCAGAGAGAGGTTCAAGGGGACATGCTGCTGAATGCAATCCCAGAGATCACAGGTGTTCGCTTTTCTACGAGGTCTGGTCCATCCTGTGCCTTCACATGTACATTAGAAATTCACAAGTCTATCGCCGGCCTGTGCTGAAAGAAAGGGCAGCTAAGTGTGGCTCAGCAGTCGAAGCTCAAAGCAGGGACCCTGGGCATCTGGATGCTGCAGCTGGCAGGTAGTTACTCTCAGCTTGGCCGCCCAACTATGGGCTCCTGCTAGCTCCAGCTTCTAGGCGCTCTGGCACGGTAGCATGGGTCTGAAATATTTGCTGAGACCGAAGTGGCCCTGGATCTTCGTTTATCTGAATCCAGCTGAAAATAAAAAGCGCAAAGAAATATGCGGACAGTGAGGCAGGCGCCCTAGGCAGCCAGGCCCTGCTGAGCTCGCCCAGTAACCAGACTCCTGCTGGGCGCCTGCTGCTCTGCAGTCCAGGAGTGGCTTTGTATGGCCTTGATGCAGGCAATGAGGAGACACAGGAGGAGATCCTTGGCTTTGTCCCTTTCCTTAGTCCTCCCCAGTCCTGCCCTTGGGAAGCTGCCTTCACCTCTCCGTGACTGACCAAGTTCAATACCCAAAACAAAACCAAGCCGCCCCCCCCAAATCAAAACAACCTTCCCACCTCAAATAGTGACAACAAAACCCCGACCCGCAGTAGCTGGAAGCTGGATTTCAACAGCCAGGATGGAGAAAATAAAATCCCGAAACGCCCCCTCCCTGCACCATCCCCCCAGCTTGACTGCGGCTGCGGGCTGTCACACCGAAGCAAGCCGGTGGAATCTGGAGGAGCCTCCAGGTCGCTCCGTGAACAGGTTGCACCACAGTCACCTGGAGAGGGCGGCCTGGGAGAGCGAACCTCAGAGAGCACGGAACCGCAGGGCCACGCGCACGCTCACTCCCGCGGAATTGGCGCTCGTGGGAGCAGAGCGCGCGAGTCTGTCTACTAGCCAAGCCACCCGCGAGGGAGAGTCAGGTTCCCAGCAAAGCCGATCCCCAGGGATAAACAGGGCCCTGGTGGATTCATGCAGAATCTCCTAGGGACGTCTGCCCTAGAGATTCCAGCCTCTAGCCACACCCGGGTTTCTGGGGAGCCGGGTAGGAGTGCATCACTCCTCGGACCAGACTCGAGTAGCAGTCACTGAGGATTCCCTAAGGGTTAAAAAAAATCAAATCCGCGTGCCAGCAGTTGGGGATGCCTGGGATTTTCTGGGCTAGGGGTCATGATCTACCTAAATGGCTCGATTTCTACAACTGCAAAAGGTCTAGGAAACGTGGGACAGGAGTGCGGGGCTTGGGGACATGCTCACTTTGTCTTTTGGGGTCGAACCCCAAGGCAGGGATCTCAGACTGCTGTGAAAATCACAAGTTCAAGTCTTCTCAGGCGGTCCCCAAATCACGCCACTGCGGAACCCGCCTTCTCCCACCTGGGGTCTATAACTGGGTTAAAATGACACTTGTTAACTAGAAGGTTAACTTCTCGTGGCAAATCAGGAAAACGCGGTGGTTTGGGGTGCTGGTATCAAAGCGGGTCCTAAAGCGGATACGCGGGGCTAAGTGGAAGGTCCGGTGTCAACTGTAGGCCGGGCACACCTGCCCACTCCCACCCGACCCTGCGGGATTTCCCGCCTGCTCCCGGCACCGCAGCACTACTCACCTGCTGCGTCGATGAGGAGGCCCTGGAGCGGAAGAGCGGACCTCCAGTCCACGCAGCGCCGGCTGCTTCTCTGCAGGGAGGAGAGGGGACGGTCTCCGAAGACCAAGTCCCAGTCCTTAGCACCAGCTGACTCACCCACCACTGCGGAGCACCTCAAACTCCGGGCTCGCTTCTCCTGGGTCTTTTAAAAATAAAGACTGATAACAGAGAAAAGAAAAGGCAAATACAGCGAGTCAATAACTGCACTATCACCGGTTTGATATTCAGTTCCTGGACACCAGAAAAGAGCGGCGAGGAACTTTGCGGCTCTGGTTGACGTAGTACAGGCGGTAGCCCAGAGAGTACCGTAATCTCCAGCTGTTACCGTATTCCTCTGCGGCAACCCGCACAATCTCGTAAAACTCAGGGTTGGTGTCTTTCTCCTTCCTGCCTAGAAGTGGATTCATCTCCCCCTCTCTGTTCTTCTGTCTCTCTGCCCCTCCCCCTTTCCTTTTCTCTTCTCTCTCTCTTCATCCTCCTTCTCTTCTTCATCAGTAGGTTGATATATACATTTAAATAAAAAACAAACAAAAACAGACTTCCTTTCAAGTTTTCACTAAATAGTGTGTTTACAGAAATCCCCCAAAGGTTACTGTGAAAAGTTTAGTTCAGCTCGTGAAGGCATTTATTTAAGTCAGGAAGTGCGTGGTTGATGGTGTCAAACGTGCAGATGAGTTTTAAAAAATACACACAACCAGATAAGATTCCTTAGATTTGATTGCAACAGTTTCAGGAAAACAAAGTCTATTAAGATATGATCTACCTATCATTTGGTTAAATAGAGTTTTTAAAATTATATGTTCTCAAGGCAGCTTCTCCCACAATGTAGTATCTTTGTGTATCTGTTTCCAATTCTCAAAAGAAAATGTCCCCTTGGAGGAGAATTTCCTCTCTTTTTTTTTTTAATAGTAGAGAGCTCACACAGTCTTATTTATTTATCTATCTATTCCTGACAAATTCCGTGGTCTGTTTAATTTAGGACTACTCAGAACATAAGAACAAACAAGAGTTTTCCCAGTATGGTACCCATCTCCCATGTTGTCTTCATTCATTGTTATTGAGTCAGACAGAAGATACTTTTTTTCTTTTTTTTTTTTGAAGTGCTTACTGGAATCCCTTAAGTGTGGTAATACAAAAGCCACCTTAAGAGAACATAGGGCTGCAGATGCATGTATTAGGTAGACTCTTTACTTGCATGCATGTATAAAACCCTGGGTTAGATTACCTGTAGTTCTCTTCAGTCTTCTGAGCAAAAATGTATTAATATTATTCATTTTCCAAAGAAAAACATGTTTAGAGACACTTTAAATAGCAGTATGCCACAGTGTGCAGAGAGACACAACCACGTGTGGAGATCAGAGTTCCTTTAACTCGGGAAAACCTGGTACTTAGATTTCTTTCTCTTTATACATAAAAATCTCCCCAGTCCCATGCCTAGAGACATAATACCCACGCCTATTGTGTTTGATTCGATTTGACTTTAGTAGCATTTAAAGAGTGTGTGTATAAATGGTTTGCTTCTTTACAAACTGAGTCATGGATTCTAGAAGAAGCCTCAAGGATGCATAGACAAGAAAGTCATCTCTTTTAATCCTAGTCCATTAGTGATTAGGTTACATGCTTTCTGAGATCCCCTCCCCATTTGGAAGAGACTGCTCTATGACCCCTAAGACTTTCATGCCCTATCAAATAAATGGGTAAGAGTATCCCGGGTATTGGTGGCACATGCCTTTAATCCCAGCACTCGGGAGGCAGAGGCAGGTGGAGCTCTGTGAGTTTGAGGCCAGCCTGGTCTACAAAGCGAGTTCCAGGACAGCCTCCAATAAGAGTTCTTCTTTGGGAATCTCGCCCCCTAGAGGGAGATCCGTTGTGTAGCTTTGTACCCTCTTACCCTACATCATGAACACCCATTCTCTTTAATATCTTTCCCATGGTAAAGAAGGGAAGTGATTTGTCTGCAAGAAAACAAGCTCTGGGGAGAAAATGAATGAAGATCCTTGGAATTCCTAAATCTCTAAGCCCAACAAATTGAGAACACATCCATCCCAACCACTAACTAGCTGTTGCCCAAACCCTACAGCCACTCTCTGCAACCAAGTAGGTTTCAGCTTTCGAATGTCAATCTTTACAAAGCAGACTCTTAGCACAAGCCTTCTGGTTGATAACCACCAATTCACAAATTAGAAACCACTTATTCTTAGATTTTTGCCAGCTTATATTTATTATGCAAAATGATAGCTTTAAAATGACAATTTTATTCAAATATGTCATGTGCTTTGACCATATTCACACCCTAACCCTCTCCCACTATTTCCCTAAATATTCCCCAAACAGTTTCCATTCTCTGTTCATGTCATATATAACATTTATGTATATGATACTCATATGTATAGATCAAGTTGCACATATGGGAGAAAATATGCAATGCTTGCCTTTCTTAGTCTGGTTTATTTCTCTTAACACAGTGGTTGCCAGTTCCATATGTGTCTTGCAAATGACGTAATTTTGTTCCTCTGGGCTGAATCAAACTCCGTTGTGTACATGCTACACACTTTCTTTAGCCATTCTGGAATGCATGGTTGACACTAATGACAGACTCGTGGTAGGTGTAGTAAAGAGACAATGACCATGGAGACCTGAGGAGCAAACCCTACTTCCTGTGAGGCTTTTCTGGGTCTTGGTTTCCTAATTTTTAAAGGGAACAATGAAACCCAACAGGGTTGTTAGTGTGGTCCAATGAAATTATCTCTCTGAGGAATGTGTTCGTGGTCGTGATTGGCTCTTCTACTAATCTTATGAATGAATTAATTTTGTGAATTCCTTTTCCCCCCTTTTTGGGTTACTTTGAGTTGAAATGTGCATCTAACCTAACTGAGGCCATGAATGCTCAGCTTGAAAATTCACTTGGGAAAATGATGATGTCAGAAGGATCCAGTATGGCACACTTGGACCTGCTCTTCTCTCCCTGGATCTGCATGGGCCGTGCAACTGCATGTGAGCCCTTTGCCCAGGTATCCTGAGAGCCAACTACAAACCTGTGATGTTTGTCCAGAGCGGACTGAGACAGATGAAACTCCTAGAGTCCAGAAAGAGAAGACTGTGTGACTATCAAGGGTTTAGGAGCCAATCAGGCATAAGACTTTAGTCCCATGGACCCTAGGAGAATTCTGTGGCTACAGGGAGTCAGATCTGGGCCCTCTAACCCAGAAACCCCACATAAGGAGAGGCTACCCTGGCTTCATTCTGAACTATTGTGTGATCAGGTGTGGTTGAAGTCAACAAAAGCTGTTGATGGAGAGGTTCTGGGAAAGCTTGTGGGTGACAACACTTGACTCAAGACTTACAGGATAGACCAGATTCTGTTGATAGGCAGAAATGGGAAAAACAACTGGACAGAGCTGTGTTACAAGGTGTGTGTGTGTGTGTGTGTGTGTGTGTGTGTGTGTGTGCTCAAATACTCAGTAACATTGGAAGAACCGTTCTGACTGGAGAAGGACCATCCAATCAAAAAGTAGCTGACACCTTTGGCTGGTAGGACTGTGTTACTGATTAGTGAGAAAGTAAGCATTTGAGGTTTGGAGGTTAAAAAAAAAGGTGATTGATCAACCTGCTTCTTAAAGCAATGCACAATGGAATTAGGAGCTTTTTTTCTGGGATTTATGATTTGAAGTGGAAGAGTAGATCTGGCTTAGCATTAGCATCCACCATAGTGAGCTGGCCTTATCCATCAATTCTCTTAAGGCTTAGCAAGTTAAAGTGGGAGGAAGATGGAAAACATTGCTCAGAAGGCTGTGAATGAAGCAATAAATCACAATTCCCCAAATGAGCATTATGTTCCAGTCCTCTGACAATCCATGCAAACCGCACAGTGCACAGACATTGGGGGGAGGCTTCGTGAGATCATAACTCTGTCTTTGCCATCATTGCCCCAAACCACAGCAACCTGGGAAGAAAAAAGAAACCACTACAAATGGTGTGAAGTCAGCCTGCCATCTTTGCCTTATAGAATAGCACGGTGGGGACATGGGGTCCAGTCAGGCTTTTGCTGCTCAGGCAACTTTGCTCTTGTAGATGTGATCCTTGATCAAATAATATCTCAAGCCTGCTAAGATTGAGCATGTCTGATATGCCACTAACTACCCATGCTCATTCCTCTCCATTTCATGGCTGGATTTGACTCTCCCTGCCATTTCCATCTCCCCTTTTCAGTCACATATTCCCCAGTAAGTTATTTATCTATATAATCATGCTCTCGTCTCTGCTTCTGGGAGGAGTGAAATGAATACATAAACTGAGCTTTTGTGAGATTTGTTCATTCTTCTTGTCACAGGCATTTAAAGAGGCATGTTATAAATTTCTTTACATGGAGAGACTCTCTATGTTAGCCATCCCGCAGCCATCAGAAATTGCCACATGTATGCCTAGGTCACCGAATAGCTGCATCTGCCTGTGTTACAGGAGTTTATGAGACTTGCTTCTGTGATGAGGAAGGGTGATCTCGTGGAAGAACTTACCCTCATCTGTTGTGAAACAATCCTTTTGAACAATATGAATATGTATTACTCTTATTGGCTAGAAAAGCTGATTGGCCAATAGCCAGGCCAAACACATAGGTGGGGTGATCAAACTGAGGATACAGGGAGAAAGAATGGCGGAGTCAGGGAGTTACCAGGAGCAGCAGAGAGAGCAGGACATGCTGGAGGACAGGTAAAGTCACGAGCCATGCGGCAGAGGGTAGATAAGAAATATGGGTTAATTTAAAGTGTAAGAGTTAGCTAGTAATAATCCTGAGCTATTGGCTGAGCATTTATAATTTATATTAAGCCTCTGAGTCTATTATTTGGGAGGCGGCAGCTGGATATTTGGCAACAGGCAGTTGGGACAGAAAAACTCTACCTACACTCATTCTCGCTACTCTTTGAATTTCCTTTTCACAGTTAAGACATTTTTTAGGACTGAAATTAAGTCATGTGAACCAGATGAGAACTGACACTAATTTTAAAGACTCTCTGGGGGACAGGAGAGATAGCTTAGTCAGGGAAGTGTTTGCTGTGCAAGCATAGAGATCTGAGTTCAATTCCCAGAACCAGAAGAAACTGAGTGTGGTGACACATACTTGTAATCCCACCACTGAAGAGGAGAGACTGGAGGATCTCTAGGGATATATAGCTAGTCAGCCTAGCAGAACCAGTGAGCTCCAGGACAGCGAGGGACCCCCTTCTCAACAAACAAGTGGGTAGTGACTGAGGGATGTAAGGTTCATTGAACTCTGACCCCTACAAACTCATGCACACACATTAATAT